GATGAGGCAGTAGCTACATGCTATTGTTGACTGCAGTTCTGAGACTTTACAAATGTCAGGAAATGGAAAAATGTCTATTTCTTGTGGGTTATCTTGCTTTTCTTACTCTGCTCCCTTTTTTCCAAGGATATTTTCCAACCTTATGCAACCCAAATGGAACCATCTGTGGTATGCCATGATGGAGGCAAAATTGTTTGGACCATTTGCTATCCAATCCATTGTTTTAGGGGAACTTCCCACAGTCCTGACTGAGTATTTTTAGAAACAGAATGTCAGTTTCAATTGTTTGGTAGATTAATCAAATTGGACGTTGCAGTTTGTTGGGACCTGGGATCAAATCTGCTGATCCTATTGATTAGCAGAGTTACACAATGAACAAATCAAAGCTTTGACCGATGGGAAGTTTATCAAAGATTTGACCAATGGGAAGTTTATATGCAAATCAAACTTTGAGGAAGGTTTGGTCAAACTTGTGAGTGACCAATCATATTCTTGATGGAAAACAAGTTTGCCCTTACACTGACATATGTTCATAACACACTGTATAATCAGTGCTTATCCGAAGGCTTGTGAAAAAATTCATAACGTCTGCACTAGTAAGCAACAGGTCCTGGGTTCAAGTTCCACCCGAGTAAGCTTGTGAATTTTTTTCACAAGCTCTCAGATAAACACTGATTATAAAGTGTTGTGAATTTACATCAGTGTAAGGACAAAACCCATAATTAAAACCTTGAAGTTTTCTAAACTTACAAATCAATCACAACGGACAGGTACAGACTGACCCGTGGATATCCCTTGAAAGAGAGTACTCTGGATATCTGGATGTGCTTGTACTTACAGCATCTGTCTTACAAGTGACGTTAGCTATATGTTTACAAAGTGTCTTCAGCCAATCCTCCTTTTTGGGCTCCTCCCTGATGAGGGTGAAGAGATATAAGTGATCCAGCCGTTCTGTGGTGTCCATGGGGGGCTTGCACAAAATGGCAAATGTGTTTTTGCATTCTAAAACAAAATAAACAACAGTTAGACATCAACAAAATCAGCTTTCTCACACTATGTGGGTGTTAACACTCTGTCCACTTGGATCAAAACATGTACCTTGAATGATCTTTGTGTGTGAAATATCTAGCTTACATGTATACATGTATGTGAGACATGTGGCCTACTGGTTTACATTTGTAACTTCCAATCATAATAATTAGAATCCAGCTACATGTATGTGGTGTATGCTGTGACCTTGGGCAAGTCACTTAACACCCACTTTCCTCTCCACCCAGGAGTATAAATGGGTATCTGTGAGGGCAGACAGGGTTGTTGTAGTTGATTATAGCCAGGAAACACCTACATGTAAGGAGACATCTCAAAATCCCGGGACAAGTGGTGGACATTGTTGCTTATTAAGCGGTGGGATTCTTTATGGGCAATCTTCCTACAATGAAGCCATGAGTTTGTTTACACATGTCCCCACTGTGGTTTATGGTTCGGGCCAGGCTGTGTCTACTCTAATGGAAGAAATAATGATATACATGTAACAGCTCCAAGATAACCAACTGGTTTGAAATGCTTCCTGTAGGCATTTTCCACATTTATATTAATTGAATATAGTTTCTTCTAATAAAAGTTTCAAGGCATAAATGTTGTTTGCTAGTCCGTGTTTCGAAAGTTATTTTTCTTGTGCCTTAATTTTCCTAATCCTTGGCTTTGGTTGATAGTTATAATTTAGAAACACGTAAAAGAACAAATTAAAGCTAATACTTTGTACATACTGATGGTAAAAAACATGTATAATATGGGTATGCAAATCATACAATGTGTTTCTTTTTACCCCTCCGACCACAAATTAAAAACTAGGGTTTGACCATCACAGTGCACTAACGTTATGTTTATTAAGTATCAAGGTCACTCCTCTGGAAACCACAAACCACTCTTGAGGGTCTACTTGTTGTGTTCCCTCAGGCCAAATGTAAACAGTCATTCATGGTTGACAAGTTGCTCATGAAAGTCTTCTGGAACTTGTCCAGAACAAATGCAGGGCTTTTTGCTGATGAAGAAGGTGTTACCACCTGCAACTTGTCCCAAACCCAAGTTTTGAGATGGTCCTAACATGGCTGCACTAAGTTGTTTACTTTCTAGGGAACCGAGTTGGTTTTAGATTTTAAGATTGTTTCTGGACCCGGTAAGGATAATAAAATGCATAGTGCTTTGAGCACCAGTACTGGATGATATGTGCCGTTAGAAATATCTTCATTATGATTTTTCCTTTTGCAACAGGTAACATTATTTCCAAAATTCCTTTATACAAGTTTGCACAATGACACACTTCCCTACGGCCTCTGGGTCTCAGGCTCACTGGTCCACTCAAAAATTGCAAGACAAACTATAAACACACATACATGTGCGGGTACACACCTTCTGTTTCCTGCACATCTAGAATCCTCCTGATATGAGACAGAGGCACTAGCTCAATGTGTTTGTAGAATTTCTGTGGTGCCTTGCTGCTGTGGGGACTCTTAAAGGAAGTTCCTGGTTTGCCACGTCGCTTGCAGATCTGTTGTAGAAATGTCATGAACATTCTAAGTTGAGTCATTGTGTCGATTCAGCCATGGAAGTCACAGAAAAAAAAGTTAGGGATGCATTCTCTCAGGCCCCATTTGAAATTCCATTCAAGATGCATGTAAATGTATCTAAGGCTGGGGGGGGGACCAATCAAGTGACCGTAACTTGACAAAACCTTAATGGATCTTGACCAAACTTGATATACCTGTACATGTATGAACTACATGTACATGTAGCTATGGGGAAAGAGAGCCAATCAGCTTGTTCATACATGAGTTGATTAATTTGGTACACCTTAATTTCCTCAAGATTTTTGTCGCCCAAAATCTCTCTGTTGAACTTAAAACTCATTGTTTTAAATACTTCGGACTGCTTTCTAAAAATAATAAACTCCAAATCAGTCTTTAAAAAAAATCACCCAGTAGGTATTGAACGAGTATACAATGACAACATCGGTCACAAATTACCTGTATCATGTAAATAAGAGCTCCTTATTGATAATATGCCCCAACAATGAATAGAGCCATGTAGTTTGCAAGTCTTGCACAATACAGCTATTTCTTGTGAGGCTATACACCCAGTAGCCACTAAACCATCGTCTCATGTATCTATTACAGTGCGCTAAGAGGGACTGAACTTATTTGAGAACTACACGTATATACTGTATGTACAGGTCCATGACCAAGGCTTGTTAATGTCAAGTTTTAAGGCTATACACGTCAAATCATTCGCACATGTGCGCATCATACTCCAGATTTTTTTTTCCTGTAAATATTTGTATGTGCCAGGGTGTGTGGATCAAAACAGAACAGGCATCTTACATGTGATTGATAATTGCCAAATTGCTTCCCCCTCCCCCACTGTGAAGCAACTTGTATTGACTGTGTTGTGTGTACAGTGGGCCCAATGGTAATGCACAAGGCAATGCTTGCATGATACACTCAACACTGATTTCCTACTGCTAATAATGACCAGAACCACATGGAAAAGCTGGAAGCTATAGTGACCCCCACAACAACAGGAGATACATGTATGTTCAGAATTTTGGTCCAATGAAGTGTGGTTTTCTATAGGATCATCACTGAGCTCATGGGCTCATGCAGCGATGGCTGGTCAATGTAGGCACTTTACATAAATCCCCATGAGCCTTTACATACATGTAAATCCCCATGTCAAAACTTAGCAGTGCTGTAACAGAAAGTATTTTACATGTTTTTGTTGTGTTTGGGACTTATAATTTTGATTGTTGTATCTGAAAAAGCAAAGTAAATGAGAGCGCTGCAACCACACTTACGTGTAAATGTACACAATTAATGGGAGAACAGCACAGGATATGAAAAACGAGCTTTATATCTGGAAGAGCATCATATTAGGGAGTGCAGTCACGAGAATACACTGTACACCAAATAGGATGATGGCAGCAAATTAAACATGTTATAAACAGAAATTTGGTTGACACAAACCTCCAATTTTCAAAATTTTTATTCCCGTGGTCTTTAGAGTCATGCATGTTTCACAAATAGCACTGGTCATTACATTTACACACTGTTCTGAGAGTCAGTACTGCGGATAAATAAGTATGCAGATTGAAATGGAAACAAGTCTAAAGTTAGGGCTACATGTAAATGCTCCCTTATGAACCCTTACATGTATGTACCCAAATGTTAAGCTTTGCCACACTGGGTTATTCTCTGTGTTTTAGAGAATTCATCTACATGTGAAACTACACAAACCTCAAGTGTGTCTGAGAACAGGAACATGCTGATGTTGCCTCCCTTTTCAGAGAAGTTTTCTCCTTTACCATTCTCTTTATCCCCAATCTCAGTCATATCTGCTCGCATGATGAAACTACGATGTGCCGACAGAAGATGAGGAGGAACATCCTCAATATCATTAATGACTTCAAACATCTGGGTGTGGCCTTCTGTCTTTCTCTTATCTTCATTGATGTGTCTAGACAAAGTAAAATACATGCATCAACTTAAAGTATTACAGAATATGTGGTCTTTCTAGTTACATACTTCCAATTGTAAATCCATCTACCGGTAGTTGTTAAGCATTACTACATTTTGCGGAAACCCAATCATAAAAGTCCATGAACAGTTATGGAATAACATTCATACATTGTTACCAAGCTTACAGTTTGATAATCTGTGATCAGATGAGACATTTTATTGTAATCAATGCTGCTTACACCACATGAAAGCGTAACTCTTGGTTAATCCTTGTCACTTGTTAATGGTGCACCAGTGTTCACGTTCAGAAAAAGGGAATGGTTTTCAACATAAACTGCCATGCTTTTGGGATTTCCACACTCCCACACAAGAGTTCTGACACTGGGACAGAGCATAGGTAAGCAGCCTCACCCCTCAAGATAATGGAAGAGTCCAAACCAAGCAGCACTCTAACATGACAGCTCTTTCAGAGCATCATGGCGAACGCCTGTGTTTCTCAAACAATAAAGAGACATTTAGCTTCCTGGTTTTTGAATCACAGTAACTTTCATGCCCAAAATGCAAGGACAGTTACCACATTAGTTGATTTACTAAGTGTTTATGATGTGCACTGACGTGTAGATGGTTTTCGACCGACGTACATGTACATGTGAAGAGCGAACAATGACTATGTTGTTGATCGTGCATGTGTACATGTACGTTGTGGTCCCGCACTGACTGTGGTGACTGCAATCACTTCATAGTACTGCACGATGAAGTGCTTATTCGGCAAATTCTCAACGTAGCATTGCTGAAGGGGAAACACAAACTTGAAGGTAAATTTGCCAATCACAAGTACTACCCCCAGTGGTGGAAAAAAGGCACTTTTGGAGGGCCATAATTGGTCAGGTATGCATTATCCAGGCACTCTGGAACGTCCTATGGCCCATGGATTTTTGCGAGACAAATTATATGAGCTGCGTTTTGAGTGCTAAAAATGAACATTTTTCTCGATTTTTCTCAGGACAGTGAACTCAAAAAATTAAACAAGTCCATGGAATGATACACAAGTAAACAGCAAACCCCCAACTACAGTAGGTCAATTTTGACAAACTGGAATACATGCTAATCGTGTACACTACCTTCAAAAGGAATAACCAAGTGGATAACCACACACTGTTCAGTGTTAACAACTTCATGCAACTCAAACTGCACAGTTCCTGCACATCCTACCTACATGTACAGTATACTGCAAAACCATTCATCTTCCAACAAAGTGGAATATTAAGAATCACCATAATCAACATGTTGACTTTATGAAATAAAAGTTTATTTTAGACATGTTTGTTTAATAAGTTCATGCCCAAGTTACGCACACCTGGTTACACTGGACATTGTAGCATTAACTTTATGTGTAATCCCATTCATGTAAGGTACGGTACAAACAACAATGCTCATCCTGAACTACCAGCATGAGCAAAGCAGATTATCCTATACCAAATGTTAAGTATACATTTAACTGCTGTCCTTATTGATGTGAGCAATTTATTACACTTGGTATGATAAGGATTTTGTCTCTGTATTATTCAGGCTGTCAATTTGACAAAATATTATCTCACCACATCAAACGATCACAAGAGATTAACGGGAAACCAGCTAGGTTATTTTGGACCATCTCAGAGCCTGGTCGGGGGAGGGTTGACAAAGGGACCCTAAGAATTTAACTATCCTGAAACCAATTTTTCAAAAACTTAGCATGCATGTAAAGACACTCCTTATCAGTACAAAGGTAAAGTTTTGACTACATCTTATATATGGTTTTGTTGGCACAGTAGTTTGCAGTTGAAGGCCCCACGCATGTCAGTCTTCCTGTACTGAACATGGCAGTGGAAAAGTATACATTTTGGGCTGACTTGCCTTGGAAAAATGGGCACTGCACAAAAATGGTATGTTCAATTTTCACAAAACTGGTGTAAAACTGACTGCAAAGAGTAAGTGAATAAAACTGTCAAAGGCCTGGCTCATGAAAAAAATGCACTGCAACAATAACGAAAAAACTGTCAAGGGGGTGGATTCTGTCCCCCAGCTCTTTTAGGGTTAACCCCTTCACGCCAGGATTCTTTTAACCGTGACTGCTGGGCTCTGGTATGCCCAGTATGCAAAGTTCTGTCCAGTAGCAGGCCCCATTGAACCAGCAGCTGCATGGTGAATAGACTGTATGTGTGGTATGCACTAACCTTCACACAAAGCCATTCTGTGGACGGCTCCCGGTATGAAGGGGTTAAAGATTAAAAAGTATGTGAAATATTACGATCTGCAGGTTTAAAAAGAACTTACTCTGCAACCTTCCTGAGTGAGTCTAATGCTTGTGACAATTGCTTCCACTCTGTATGTCCCTCTGGAGTTCGCTTGTGTAAATCTATGTCAAAGACAACCAGCAAAGCACATGATCATCACACTGTTTAAAGCAAAAGCAATCACTAAAAGCAAAAAACATACACGCATATACCTTTGAGCTAGGAGTTGATCATGAGGCTGCATCCTAAAATTTGGTCACACTGGATCTGTGTGAAGATCATTTTGTGGCATGTGCCTGTACCTATTTCCAATAGTTCCTTGGCAGAAATGCATCCAATGCATGGGCAAACAAAAGAAAGTACAGTAAGCTGTACAGTAAGCTATGTCGTCATCATACAACTCAGCAAATCACTCAAGTCCTGATCGTCTCCAAAGCATTTCCATTAAAATTTTTATTTCTAAAACGGCTTTTATACATTGTCATTTTGCCTAAGTCGGAGTGTTACTCTTAGTCCCATTTCCACAAAAAGCACATCAAAACCCTTTGTGTCAGTCTGCATTTAAAAATCCCACATTGACATGATTCCCCCGCTACGGTTGGCAAGAAGTGTCAGTGAAAAGTCATAAGGTGCCATTCGTTTACTGGCGTGGTCCGTGATGGCTGCATCGTGGTGTTTATGTGGCGTTACAATTAGGACACATCTCAGGGCAGCGTTGCATGTACTGCTAGCATGGATGAACCCCAGACCTTTCTCTCCCAACATACATGTACATGTATGTGCGTTTAGAGGATATCACATACATGTGCCATGTAAAATCATGGAGTACATAAATATAATAAGAGTATGTGGAGTCAAAATAATAATTTCTGCTTTCCCACGGCCCAAGCATCAGACAAGTTGCGTTGCGAGCGCAGTGTGGATGGGGGAAACGCAAGAGACTCGATGAAGCATGTATGACACACAGGTTCCTACCACCTTGACAACTTGAGTTACATTCCAAACTTCAACACTCTGAAAAAATGAAGGGATCAAAATCCTCTGAAATACTTCAGCAAATAAGTTAGTTCACACAACTACATGTACATTGCCTTTGATGCAAAGGTATTTTCTACTTTCATGTACATGTACATTGTTTTTTGAAGGTTTTAGTGCATGTATTTTCAGCAGCCCAGTGGAGCAACATTTTTTTTGTTGGACTGTCGCTGGGTGAATTCAGCATTTATTGGTCCATGTACATGCAGCCACTCCGTTCACACTGATGGACCGCTACACTTCACAAAATTCAATCCCCATGTCAAAACTTCGGGGCACTGTAAACCATGTTGCTTGTTTTCATTTTGTCTATTCCTTCCTCCATGCGCGGAATAGATATTTTGAGCGTAGCAACCCAATCACATGTACATTGACATGTATGTATGCATAGGTCATAGTTTCATGGAAGTCCGCAAAATGACGACTTCATGTGAGTCATCACAAGTTTGGGGGTACCAAGGGTGCCGACTTACTGTAGTTCCTTTAGTACTGTTTACTGTACTGAATTCTGAATACTCACCCACATATGGTATATACATTTTAACTTCTGCATAGAGACTACGGACAGACAGGAATCGATCAGTGTCCATACATGAGTCACTGTACTGTGGGGGATTAGTAACTTAATCACCATCTTAGTAAACTAACCTGACAGAAGTAGAATCATACTAGGCAGCCTCTGAACAGGTCGGATCAGGAGTTCAGTCAATGTCTGGCGACCGCACTCTGGCTTACTCTGACATATCTATGTGTAGTTAAATTTAAAGGACGTAATTATCTAATGTGTGCAGAACTTTCAAATGTCTTTCAACAAGCCAAGCCTACACGGCCACACAATAGCTCAAATGATCACTACCATTGTCTGTCTGTTTGTTGTCCATTTCCTTGTTGTGGTAATTACCTTCTTGTTCATCTGATTGCTATACATAAACCCTTCTCTCACCATTGCCCTTGTTAGAAAAGGTCTATGTATTATGAACAACTTTTCTTATTAGTTTGATTAGTTTGATTTGACCTAAACATTTGTAACTGCCTTAAGTTAGTCAGTGCACCAATTGTGATGCAGTACAGTACCTCCAACATCAAAGTTCACAGCAATTAAACAGCTGTGTGGGTAGCAGTTTCAAAGCATTGCAAACACCGAATAGTTTATATCAATGAACACGGACAGCATATCAAAAACTTATGAATGAATGCAACAAGATTTTCAAAACCTCAAAAAGTTTCACTAAAAGTTGTACAGTTACGTCCTACTTCCTCCATTTGCCATTTTGCACAACAGTTTTCCTTTTGGCCTTTCTTATGGCCAGCATCAAATGAAGGATGTTTACATAAAGAGAAATAAAAATTTACAACTGGCAAAGTAATAAAGTCAGGAGACAGTTACCATCTACAGGCAGTTTGTTATTACCTTGAGGAAGGCGTGGAACCTGGGTTTCTGCTTGTCACATTCAATAACCGTTTGCTTGCTCAACTCAAAGAAGTTGACAAAGGCTGGGTAAGCCTTCATAATATCTGCTGACTGAAAGAGAAACTCCAGTGTTTACAAAACCCTAAGATATAAGAATAAGCTAGTTAATTATTCCACTTGCCCATGCCAATGTGATAGTATAAGCTAGTTGATTATTCCACTTGCCCATGCCAATGTGATAGTGTAAGCAAGTTGATTATTCCACTTGCCCATGCCAATGTGATAGTATAAGCTAGTTGATTATTCCACTTGCCCATGCCAATGTGATAGTATAAGCTAGTTGATTATTCCACTTGCCCATGCCAATGTGATAGTATAAGCAAGCTGATTATTCCACTTGCCCATGCCAATGTGATAGTGTCAACACAGAAGATAAACATACTAGTAGATTTTTTAATTTTTCATGGAATTAAAAGAGGATGGAAATATGGTTGTTTGTACAGGCTGGAGTGGGAAATTACTGTAAAGGATGGTACAGAGGAAAGTTTCAAGAATTGTTTTTTATAAATTCTGAACATATAACATATACTTTCTGTCAATTTGTAAGCACCCACTATAATTCTACACACAACAATGGTTTATCTATCTTGCCAACAGCAAGATATATGTAGTTGGATATTAATTCTGTTGATTGGTTCATGGCATTATGAGCGTGTACCGCTGTGTATCACATACTACAGTATCACTGCTGGTGCATGTACAAGATGACTCCTGAACACTACAGCATATTCAGGTGTATTGTACACAGTGCCTATGCCCATGCCTGAAGTTCAGCTGTAGCACTCATTAGAGCAATTGGTCTAAACACACTTCAGTCCATTAAGTCTCGGTGCATGTGCCCTACATCATACATGTACATATACCTTATCTAATGTGTGTGTACATGAAGAGAAAAAATACTGGTCAAGAAACAGCACTAACTGTAACCCTAGGAGTATCAACTGATAGGAATAGAGTTTATTTTTCAAATGTATAGAAACTGCTATTAACCAATAAGTTCCTGCATATTTTTTGACCGGAATTGTCTATGGTCTCAGTTGTAAATGATAGAATATTACAATAATATTAAATCTTGGAGCAGCAACAGCAGTTTCTGGTTCTCACATGCTTAATGATGATCTCAGCAATGCTCTTATCTTCACTGTAATCATCCAACAATTTCTCTAGGTCTTCCTGTAGACGTTGATGCACTTCATGTATCTCAGGGATCTTACTAAAGATAGTTTTAATCTCCTCCTGGTCAAGGATAGGTCCACCAGTCTGCTCTTTCTCCAATGGCTCTTTGAAAACCTGTAATAAAATCAAAGCATGTTTATTGCTAATCAATAAGTATTTCACTCATATCAGATAAAGAGCAACAATTGTTGCATAAATGACAGGAAGGGGGCTCATAGTGGCACAGGCACTGAGCACTTAGTCACCACATTTCGGTATAGTGTGTATTTCCAAAACTGGTCTTTTTCTGTGAATTCTGTAATATAACCTCTCTGAAGGAGCTCTTTCTTAATTCTTCAGAAGATTAATTTTCAATTTCAAGTGCAATAATTTCAAGAAATCTTGACAAAACAGATGCACATGATCCTGAAGATCTTTGCTAGAAATTTTAAATACTCTGTTGGGCAACCATTTTGTTGAGATCCGGGAGATTACAATGACATTGTTGCAATATGGCCTTCTGTTGAGATCCGGGAGATTACAATGACATTGTTGCAATATGTCCTTCTGTTGAGATCCGGGAGATTACAATGACATTGTTGCAATATGGCCTTCTGTTGAGATCCGGGAGATTACAATGACATTGTTGCAATATGGCCTTCTTATGTCAAGCAATTTCACAACTGAAACATACCGTGAGAATAGTGCGAAGTATTCCTACATAATTAGCTTCTGTCTGTAGAAGTTCCATTGCTGTAAGGTGACGCTTGGAGATAGGCTTTTCTGGGGTACTCCGAGTGACAGGGGTGTCATCAACTTGCATCGGGGTGCAAGGCTCTAATCACAAAGAAATAATTATTTTCACATACTAACATGATTTCTGTCTCAAATTTGGACACTATCAACTTGTTGCAGTACAAACAAACCTCTCACTCATAGAACGTACAACAAAACATATGGATCTGGAAATTTAAGGTGTTGAATGGTGAGTTTTTGGGCAACTCCAGACATGCAATGTAGGAAAGTCCTTTCTTGTATACATGTAGATGAAGGATTGTCACTGTGCATCTTCCATCACAAAGATCATGCCTAATCCTCACTCAAGATGTGCCTTCATTCTTTCTACGCTTCTCACTACTTTCCCCTGGTTTCTTCTGATAAAATTGCAAGTGGTTTCAAAACCTGCAAGTTTGTGGTTAGATCTTAACAAAAATCACACACAATAAAGGCTTTAAGTTGGGTTGACTAAGAGTACCAACTGAAAACACTACAAGTCAAACAAACAAAAAACTTTGCATGAATCTGGTTTGAAATTTAAATATCTCATTGTAGTACTTTTTCTAATAAGGTCCATCTCAGCCTTTTATATGATATTGGCCAGGGATATCGTGTGTGATATATGTAAAGAAATGCTGGTATACCATTTCCTGCCAGTGATTCATCAGGAGTAGCATCCAGCAGTGATGAAGCTGACATGGACATGACTGTGCTTGGGTCATGTACATGGAGCGTGCTTGATCGACGTTTTGAAGGCATCCGTGGTGATGCTAAGTCATCATTCTCTTGACTTAATGCAGCTAGGCTCTCCTTTAACCGTCGTCTTTTCCGTGAAGTATGCATGACAGGTGTAGTTCCTGGTGTTTTAGGTACTTCATCAGAACCAACAGTCTACTCAAGGAAAAGAATCCCATCAATGATGAATAGCTACATGTACATGTAATACACAAGACAAGTATCCCCTTGAATTTACAGCATTAGACAAAATGACTATATCTCACTTACATCCACTTGTGAGAGCTGAATTCTAGCTGTTAATTTACGATGACGTATTCAAAATTTGGCTTTATACCAGCATGCAAATTATGGAGGTGTCAGACATAAGCAAAAATCTTGTGAGAATTTTTGGTTTAAGTTACCAAAGTGATCATTTTTTATGAATGTGTTCCATTGAACAATCATGGAACCACAGCACAGGCTAGCACAAACATACAGTGCATGTACAGGCCTCAAATTTCCCGACGGCCATAGCCATCGGTGCCTTCCCATTTGGTCGTGATGCCTTTGAAAGTGAGCGTGTTTCACCGCCAAGATGGCAGTGCCTTTTTTCTCTTGGCCATAGTGCCTTACACGTGCATATCGACTGCCCCTGTTCAGCAGGGTACACGGAAAGCGGCCTGGAAAGTGACATACACATCGTTCCATGATCGGTCACATTCGACTGGAACACCGCACCGCGCCACGCCACCCAAATGCATGGCATGTATGCATATACAAGGCATGCATGCACTGTGTATATAATGGGGATATCTACACTCGGCCTGGCCTGCTGCGCACTGGCGACTCGACCCACTCTATCCATGCACACTGCACGATCGCAAGCACGTCACAGGCGACACCCACCAGCCTATCCAGTGACTTAGCATATTAGCACATGCGCAAGCCAAGCATTTCAATGCACCATGTTAGTCTAGAACAAGTGCTCATCAATGTGTACGCGTGTTAACGGTATATCGAGAGCTCCACGTTTTTCATGCACACTGGACAATGGTATGGTCGTGGCAGTATTTTAACTAACACTGCAATGTAGTGTTTGCAGTTTAGTGCAACATGCTGCGCGCAATCTGAACTGTACATACATGACACCGGTCAATTGGGACTACCCTGATTAATTCTCACGTACGTTGTTGTGTGCAAAATCACTGGCCTAGCCAGTTTTTGTGGTACAGAAAATGCCGAGGAAAGAACAGCTGCGGTCAAAACAGACCTTTCAACATTCAGTAGAGCACTGGTTCGCCACTTATCACGGACATGTTCAGGTATAATGCGTATCCCACCTTTTCTCAGACCTGAATGAATATTGATTTTCTTGCAATATAAAAAAAAATCAGGATGGCATTAATTGGCCATAACTTTGGTACACTGATGGCGTTAATGGCCTCACGTTTGGCATTAGTGCCCTTTATTTCAGCCAGTCCACCAATGCCAAATGGTAGTGCCCTAAAAAAAAAGAAACTCGAGGCTTGCATGTATATGTATTAACAGCACAAGAGCTACTTGAAAAGAAGGCAGAACACAAATGGCAGTGTTTTGCCAAGGTAATTATTACATTGAATAAAAACTCATATCTTTGCTAAAAAAAAACAACACATCAAAAACCAAAATGCCAGTTCAAAATGTAATTGATTCCTACAGTAGCCAGCATATGAATGGGTTAAAGTATGTAAAGAACCTTCCAATGTGTACATGTACGTGGAGAACTTCAGACATACATGTATATGTAAGCTCCCCTCCTTGAAAGACATTGCCAATCTAGTTCCTGAGGCAAACGTCTGATACCTGGATAGTATCCTCTTACATGTATGCCCATTAATATTGGAAAAGTGACCATGAGACTTCAAAAATAACTAAAGCAGGGTTTCCATCTGAGAGAGATTAGTTACAAACCTATCACTACAAACCTATCACTACAATCCAGTATATCTCACCTTGTGATACATGTACAAAGTTTCATCCGCACAAGCATCCATCTGAACACTGGCCCAGAACCACTAACAATATAAAAATCATTATTTAAATTACCATTAAACACAAGCAATACAATTCAATTCACTATTACTGTCTCGACGATCAGTAACCAACCAGTAGTGTTTGAGGCTTAGGGTTATGACTTCAGTCTCAACGGCAGTCCTTTTGCAAATTTGCGACTTTTTGGAATGGCAGTGTTTCAACATTCACATCCCAACCTCCAAAGTAGCCAGTAAACACAGCCATACATGTACATTTGTACTTCATGTACATGTACTGTGCATCAGCTAGAATTCTAACATATTCTTTTATTTCAAGAAAATTTACAACTCTGGGAAGGATGCAGTTCTCATCAATCAGGGTTATATACACTGAAAGTGAACATAATTTTACTTCAGATTATGGACGGAAAATACAGAGCAATTCTAAATCCCTGCAGACATGGCCAACAATAATTAATGTTTTAATTGAGAGCTTAAGGTGCAAGCTAAACATTTGACCAAATGTTTTTTAAAAGGTGACCCTAAACCAGAAACACAGATACTCCACAATATCAATGACAGTGTTTGTGTGTATTAAACCATGTAAACCAACCTCCTGCTTCACCAGTTTCACATCATGATTAGTAGCCATCTCTATGGTTGCATTGTTTTCAATGACAAGGTGTGTACAGTTGGTACCTCCTATCGCAACATGGGTACCACCTGCCACAAAGGGAAACATGAGTTACTTACACCTGAAACACTCCGATATGCCTTAACTTATATGCACATTTTCAAGTGAACAGCAAGCAGAATTGAGCAGAAGAAATATCACATCTCAGCCCCCCCAAAAAACCCAACTCAGATTTGACTATAAATGAGTTCATACACTGTACTCTAGAAATAGTGACTGTTTTAAATGTACATGTACATGTACATGTACCTTCATCTGCAATGTGTGTAGGTAGCCTCTGAAGTGACAGAGCAATTTATGTTGTGAAGAGAAATATAGCACACTCAAACAATCATTGAAAAAAAGGCCAGCCATACGAGTTGAGATGCAGTCTTATAACCAATCATCCACAGAATCTATCCTATCAGGCCCAACACAATTAGTCTCTTGTTCCTTTCAAAGTCCCCCATGAAATAGTTCCACCCACCCAGGCACAATGTATGGACAAGGAATTTGGACTGCTACTAGCAGAGTACCTTGGATGTAAGGCACATGGGCTGTTCCATGAAGTTGGGGAGTACAGACATGTACATTTATCTGTAAATGAGCTCTGTGTACAAGTATGTAGCTCCTCAGAATAACTGAATTGTTGTGGATATAGTTAAAGATCTAGTTGTTCTTAGAATGTTTATCAGCATGACATGTTTGTGAAAAACAGATTAGCCAGGAACACAACACATCATTCCTAATTAGTACGAAGGAAATTTAATGGGAAGTCTTAAGGATATTCCAAGAAATCTATTCATTACCTCTACATGTACTGTATACATGTCCATGTATGTATATACCATACTCTTTTATGGTGAAAAATATAACATCGAGATACATGTACATGTATGTAAACTTTAACTGTAACATATACTTTTACTTATCTAGAGTAAAAAGATGTTTGAAAATTCCAAGCAGCACAACGGCAGTATTTTAAGAATGATACATGTACATGTACCGGTATAGCATGTTCTTTGCCACTTACATGTACTGTATTTTAAGAGAACTAGTACTCATGGTGGAAAGAACTGAAATCCAAACCCAATAAAAATGGTTTGGTGTTGGATCATCAACCTGTTCTCTCCAAAGCATAATCATGCTTAATACAGTAAATTCAATACTTGTGAGCAGTGTTGTAGTACTTGTACTTGAGTACTGTTTTCAGAGTACTCGTGTCTTACTTGTACTCAAATTTCTGAGTACTTGTACTCAAACAACATTTCTTATACTCAAGCTGCAAAATACTCAAAATAAAACAGTACTCAAGCAGATACTCGTTTAATAGTACTTGATAAAAAAATCCTTTAAATCCCATAACAGCCGCTGAAATACAATTGATCCTTGCAGACTGATATTTGGTATGGTCTGACAAACACAAGGCCTACATGTACACATTTGTTTTGCCAAGGAGCCTAAAATACATGTACTCAGTTTTGGGACTAAATACTGTATAATCTGCAACTTTATCTACATGTATATACTGATTTGGGAATGCTATGACAGATTTTTGCAAAAAAAGTTTGTAGATTCATTGTTCATATTCATTTAAACATTTTGAAGTTGCTCTTTCATCTAATGTTCAGTTTCCCACATCCTGTCAATTTTATAAATGACAGCACAACCATTTATCAAGGTTTGGTTTCCAATCGCCACGTATTTACCTTGTGTCACAGTAACTTCTTCCATGTGTTTTTGCTCATCTGCAGAAAATCCAACAAAGGACAGCACACAGTGGAAGAATGGTGGCATCTTATACTGCAGCTGCAAACAAAGGATCATACATGTACATACCATTATGTACGTGTATTACATGAAGCAATGTACAGTGTGCCTCCTACCATATGTACATGTATATTGCTAAAATGGGCTAACATGCTAATGTTTGAGCCAGAATTTTCATTTTTGCTTTGTACATTCCTGAATAATGACTTACAGTACAGGTCAGAATAATAGCCGACACGCTAACACGATCAGTGAACCTGACCACTGTTCAATACACGCTTTGCGGCTTTACCGTGCACTGCTGGTCCAAAGCACGATAAGGCTGACCCTGGACCTCATTATCTCGGCAGGGCTTGTGACCAACAATGTGTAGTGAACCACTGCACACACAGAGCCATCGCTCCAGCTTCGTGTATTTGTGCAAGTGTTTGTATATGCACATGTACATGTGTGTGTACAATGTATACTGCATGGCAGTGTACTGAATAAGGGAAATCACATACGTGTAGTGCTTGGCTGGCAAGATGACCATCTTGAAGTATCAAAATATGTATCACTATCACAGCCATTTTCTTTTGTTTTGGATCTCGAAAGTTGTTCACTCACATCTAGATTACATCTACAAAATGTCAAATTTCAGTGATTAACTGACCAGTAGTCGGACGTGTGTAATTAGCTACTACAAAACTTTTTCCCAAATGTAAGCTTTGAATTTTAAACTCACGGGATCGACTGGAGTGCAGTGACGACGACACTTTTCTAGCTGGTTCTAATGCTAGATCGGTTTTAAGCAATTCCTGATTGCGCGAAAACTTTTTTCACAAATAAACATTAACCATGAAAGAAATCCATTCCTCAGACAGAACTATTATAACCAGCTGATTTTACAATGAAGTATTTCTTATTTTATGGAAATTTAGTTCATGTATCAGAATTCCAGTAAATAAAAAAAAAAACACCCACTGAACTAGCATAAATTTAACTTGACTTTTTCATTTGCTACCATGCCACATGTGCTGCAACCATTGCTGAGATCATGCCGAGACCAAGCTATCACGAAACTACATTTGTACAACCACCCGAGCGCTTTTATCCCAACCACCAATCATATATCAAAACAAGTGTATAGCATATTCATTTTGAAACAGTGCTAACAAATGCAAAGCTACAGCTCTTACACGTCACACGACACGCATATGAAGTTCAAATGGGCACTACTTTATCCGTTGTGTGCAACTTGTGCATGCACGTCACTAGCCTAGCACTAGCGCTATGCGCTAGTGCAGACCTGACTTTTGTGTGACCCAACCTTTTGTTTCACTACGATCTTTGCCGTTCAGTTTGGTCCTAATACTGTCACAGAGTGATTTTTAGGTAATTTTCCAGCTCAAAGGTCGAAAACTGATGGGAAAAATCCCCACCTCACATTGAAATTCTTTTCACGCAATTTTGAACACACTGAGCTCAAGTGTGTATGCTAGGATCGCCACTGTGGGGGCCGTCTTGACTGAAATTTGGCTAGCGGACCGGCAAGGTCAAACCCCGTTTATATTTTGTGAATTTCTAACAAAATAGTTTTCTCTAATTTAGGAAATGTTTTGTTATAAAAACTGCTAGTTATAACCGTCTCAATTGAAAAATTGATTTCATTTTCTGAGCCTGATTCAGAAGGTTTGGCAGCAATTCAGACAAATTAACCAAAAGTGTTGTCAGCATGGCACTTTCATCGATTCTGTATGAACAAACAAAAACGCTTTATCTTTGAAAATGATTTTGTGATGCCTGCTACATACAAGGTAAACTACTGACAACATTTCCATGGAATTTGAAGATAACTTGAGCTGCAGTCAAACTGAATACTTTTCATTGTGGGAAACTAGGAAAATGACTGCTCTGGTCAACAAATGCCTGGCTGTTCTTGGGTTTACGTGTAGCATGTGCATGTTTATACTCAGTAGATCAGATTGCAGTGTCGGCCTTCTCTGTTATGCAGGGGTCAGCGTGTTTTGTGTTTGCAGTTACCTCCTTTCATGTCTGTTTGACTCAATACACGCTGACACGGTAAACGTGTTTGTGTGTCGGCTAAAATTATGACCTGTACCGTACATTTTCTAAAGCCTTGATAACAAGGTACATGTAGGATAGAATGCTCACCATGGCTTCTGTAGTTGCAGATATCTGTGTATCATGCCTATTTTGCCAGGCTGTGTAAATCCATTCTTTAGTCATGACAGGTGTTCCAAGACTGACTGCTACCTGCGAGTGAGTAATAAGACGTATATAACGTTCATGTAATAAAGATAGTAATGAGCTTACATGCCTAACAAAGAATGGACAGCATTAAGACATGCATAAGAATTTACATACATTTTGTACAACTTCAGAACTATGGGATAATGGAAGACATTGAGATGCTTGGTGGTCGCAGATAGACTGGTCCTTGGTCACAGTTGTGCGTACGCTCAGGACATGTACCATGTACCATGCATGCCTAGTACTGTGTGCCTGCCCAGAGCTGGCAAAAGGTCCAGTATGACTGCCATTATCAAATATCTCATAATTACCCATTGCCCTACGGAGTCCTATTATTCTTCAATATGACAACTGTTACAAGTACATGTCTAGTTTCCAGCCAAAATCCTAGGAAGCACAGCTATTTAGAGGCATATATAACCTACCCTAAATTTATTGCCAGTGGTTGCATTAGCAACCAGGTGAGTGACTTTAGTGCTGAAGTCTCTACGAACACTGCCTCCCATATGATGAACCAACTCAGCAAGACGCTTCAGTTCTTCCTTCTCAACAAAGCCAGTGAAGCAAATAACAAGTTGAGACATGTGACAGCAGTACAAGGGTCGACTAGTAAAGGGCAGAGGCTATGGACAGAACAAGACAGTTATTATTATCCAGGAGTCAATGAAGGGAGTGTGGTAATGGCACAGAGCTACATGTA